GCTTGTAATTTTCATATAATTGTGATTCATAATAAAAACGTTTTAGATTATTTTGATACACAAAGTAACACTTCATTAAATAATTATCAATTAACGAAGAATTCATGAGCGACAAAATATCTAGATCTTTTACTTTTATTTATCAGTTTATAAAACAATTCTTATTTAAACTTATTTATTGACTAAAATATTAATAAATCTAAATAGACAAAGTGCTAAAAGTGCTTTTTGATTAAGTGAAGTGTTCAGTATGTTATTAGATATTCAAAGTTATGATCAGATATTTATTTATCAAGCTTAAAAGAGTACTTGAAAACATCGAATATAAAATGTTTGTAAGTTAAAATCAAAGGATTAAAGCAATCTAAGTACCCTAACATATGAGTAACAAAATATTGTCAGTTAAGATAGATTTGAATACAGAAAAAATCACTGACCTCTTAACTAAACACGCTTCTATTAACTACCACCTTTCATTGAAACTGCCTGCAACTTTTATTTGATGTAGAGTGAAAGGTTCGCTTATTTTTTTTGCTAGTGTTCTCATATTATTAGGCGATAAGCCCAGTACTTTCATGTAACTTTCATTGAACCTAGTGAACTCTGATATCCTAACCTCAAGATCTCAAGAATTGTGTCCTTTCTAATAATATAGAATAATAATAGAAGTTATGTTTAGAACAAAAGCAATATCTGAAATAGCATTTGAAAAGTTGTACTTAATTCCATAGAAAATAATTCAAATTCCTGATTAATTTATTAAGTTGTTCAATAAATCGTGCATATTGCGGTTCAAAATGATGCACAATCCAAAATTTTCTATGGGTGACTCTCCAAACGGTCAACACACTTTTCTTGTAAAAGTTAATTTTCACTTATTTTGCGCCTTAAGAATAATTCCCTGTACGTTTTCTTGCTTTTCTGTCATAAGAATCAAAGATATAGCTCATCTCATAGATATTAGTGAGAGTTTATTTTACAATAAAAAGCGGTTGACTTAGGCTCTTTACTTAAGCGCGTTGCTATAGAATGACAGTATTCTTATAACAGTATTTGTAGTATCTGTCATAAGAATCAAAGATATAGCTCATCTCTCATACTACTGAGAGTTTATTTGACAATAAAAAATGGCTCACTAAAGTCAATGATATGTAGAGTGTGTCGGGTACGGCAAAATTGACTTTTTCGGGCTATGACGAAATTTCGTGTTTTTACTACTTTTTGGTTGTGCCTAAATTTAAAAGGAAATTTAGATACATATACTCACTTTCAATTTGGTACCGACAATAACCAGCAAGAAAATGTTAATTTGTTGTTATAATATCTAATATAATAGTTATTAACAGTACTTACAAAATTATATGCCTTTTCTTAAAATCGTAAAGTGTGATAATTAGTTTATTACCGGTTTATAAAATAGGCTATGTTATTTCCTGCAAATTCAGCAAATTCTGATATTTATAACTGGGCAACACTACTTTGCTTAAGTGCCAAGCCACAAAGTCCGGTTCTTATGCCGAAATATGAACCACCATATTCTTTTTCTCTAACTCTATAGGTCATCTCTTTAAAGTGAACACTACTATTCGCCAGCTAGAAATTGTACAAAGCCAGACTCTGTGAATACTTTTCAAAGTACCATGGTGCATTCGAACGAATGACATTCTTAGGCACGTCAAAATAGATCCGATCAAAAAATACATAAAGGATAGAACCCTAAAATTATTTACGAAAACTGATAAACTTACCAACACCGCCTTATCAAATCTCAGAATGGTTACAGCCTCTTCGAGGAGGTATGCAGATCTGAGATCAATTATAGCTTAGTCTGATGATGTGATAAACAATAATTCAGTAAAGGCACGGAGAGGGGTTATGAAAAAACCACGCAGTTAATAGAGAGGGGATAGAGAGGAGTTATGAAGAAACCTCGCAGTTAATAGAGAGTAAAAGTGCTCAAGTGCACTGATTCAACTAGCCTCAACATAATAATAGATTTTGTTGTTTAGAGTATATCAGGAATTTTAAATTTTATTTATTTACATATCTGCATTTGTGTCATTACAATGAAGCTAAACTTTCATTAATATTAAATAGCTCAAGTTTATATAGCAAAAGACTATCACATTGTTATTTACTTGGGTGTACTTTATCATATAATATGTATAGTATTGTATTTGTAGTGACTTTCCGGGGTTATGAAAATTTAAAAATTTCTTAAATTCAACTTTAAATTTACTCTTAAGGATTTTGAGAATTACTCTCAAGAATTCCTTCAAAATATTTCATATAAAACGCGAACAATAACCCTACCTCAGTGGTCTAATCATCGGTGTTTGTTACCTTAAAACTTTCCTTGAATTGTTGTTGTTACACATTTTCTACTTCTTTTTATCCTTCTTAAGCCTGTATTTGTGTAGATGTGTATATGTGACTTATTTAGTTGTAATTTTTTTTTATTTTCATTCTGGCTTTATTTTTCTTTTTTTTTTTGTTTTTGTTTTTTGCTTTTTGATTTTGTTGCGTGGCGCTGCCTTCCAATTTTACTGAAATTCATCTTCTCACTTTGCCATTCAAGAATTCACAGAATTTGTTTGTTGTGTGCCGGGCATAAATGAATGTGAATGTATGTGAGTGCTCTTGTGCGTGCGTATTTCTAGTGCTTGCACATGCCACATACAGAAGACAGAAACACAGAACACATGAACACAAATACATAGCTGGAGCAGAGCGGACATACAAACAGACATGTATGACTGAAATTATGAATAATGTTGAATATTTGATATTCCTACAATCTGCAAGGATAATTAAATTTCCTACTAATTTTTTAGTGTGCCACAGTAGAGACAGTGGAACGAATGTATTGAATCTATAAATGGCAATAAAATAATATAAAAGTTTATATTAATAATAATATAATTAATAAAATAAATATTGGAATTTGATAAACAAAAATTTGTAATAATAAACAAATATAAAAATTGCGGTAAAGTAAACTGAAATTTCCTAGGGATTTTTTGCACTGCACTTATGTAAATATATATTTATTTATTTATTACACTTATTTATTATTTTTGGTTAAAAGTTTACAAATTTATTTATTTATTTATTAAACACATAAAATTTCCACAATGGTAACACCTAATTTACCTAATTTATATTTAATTTACCCCACTCTAAATTCTGATCAATATCAACATACCGACATAATTTACTATTTCCCTCAATTTACCATCAATTTACTCGAACTCGCATGCGGTCTTAATAATAATATAATTAATAAAATAAATATTGAAATTTGATAGACTAAAATTTGTAATAATAAAAAATATAATTTAATTATTAAATTATAATTACACAAAAAAAATGTGTTCAATCATTTCACCCTTTCTAACCCACTGTGTACTGATTCAGGAGTGTTTGCAGAACAGTTGTTACTGATTTATTTTACTTCGAAATAGAAATTCTGCGAAAAAATTATATAAAATTGTTCAAATGTAATTTCATTTAGTTTTTTTTTTCTCTCCAAAAAAAAAAAAAAAATAGAAAAAAGAATTTTAACGAGAATGAATGTTGACATTCAAGCAAAGATTTATTTTCTCGTAAAGTGAATTTTTAACTACAGTAGAAATTTAATATACAATAGCAAAAAAAAGTGTATTTAACGTGTAAAAAATACAATGACTTTTACACTTTTTGCACTTTTGGTGTTTTTAAAATTAACATTCATTCATTTGAAATGAATTTTTCCTCGGGGTCACTTTAGATTTTAATATTTAAAAGTAGTTCATTTTAGGCATCATAATTTGTAAATCAACTTGAATTAAATTTTGTGTAAATACAGTAAAACTTCCACTTATGGAGACTTCCAGTTAGTCTTAGAGAATTAGAGAAAGAATCTAGAAACAAATAAAAATTCAGAATTTTAACCCTGGACGTATAATCATATTTCTACTAACGTTAAGAATAATCATACGTAAAAATGACGTGCAATTTTCAGAGTTTATATTTTGCCGTTATATTAATTTAAATGTGTGCAAGTTTTTTACAAGTTTTTAAAGAAGTATTTATTTATTCAAATTAAAACAAAACAGTAATACTTTCAAACACATTTTTTAAATAAACATAATAAATATAATATGCCAATGATTTTCACTTGAAAAGGAATTGCATTTTTCAAAATTATGTATTAAGAGTAAATTTTCAATATTTTTTAATATTTTTTTTTTATTTTTATTTAGAATAAATCAAAAAATAATAATAGAAACAAAAAAGTAAATGAAATTTATATATACTTATAAAATGAACAACTTAAAGTTAGCTTATACAAATAGCAAGTCATATTGAGATCG